TCTGTGGGGCTTTCTGAGTAGGGAAACTCTCGAGCTTTGCTCAGTTTCTGCACTTTTTGCTTCAAAAAGAACAAAAAATACCAAATATTCACAAGCCACACATATAAATACTCACTACTCTGCTACAAGTGAGCTTCCAGAGCGCTTGAGAAGCAAGATTTCATCTAATATTTCCCCTAATACTCATCTATCTTGCTTGCTTGTAAACTTCAGTGCCCACTCGCCCATCTTTGTGTGATTTCTCTCCCCAGAAGCTTCTAAAAAACAAGGAGAAGACAGCGGCTAAACTTTGTATTTCTAGTGCTTGGAAGTCAGCACTGGAAGAAATGTATTTGTCCAGTAACAAGCCACCGGCTATTTTCTCTAAGAAAGTCGCAATTGTTAGATTATAAGTCACTAGAACATCCTGTCGGCAAACGATGCGTTTTGGGAAAAAACTAAAAATAAATCGCCCCCAACCACGCTCGAACAACGAAATAACACAAGGCTAAACTGACCAACACGCAAGGGGTTACAACTATCAGCCATGCGTACTCCTCCTCGCCTTTCAAATCTTTCTTTCTCCAGAGAGTCTCAAGCCCCTTGGAGATGAACCAAACCACGACGCAGCTGCTGGAGACTTTCGAAAGCGCTGGATCAAGATACCGTGAATCAGGGTTGTGCCCTCTCTGAATGCCATTTATATTCCAGTCCAACAAAGTCACCTATACAGAGAAAATACTAAAGTTGTGCCACTTGTCAAAAACCAAGACAATCTCCAATTATCGATCACACTTCAGCGTACAGTTGGGACATTACAGAAAGCAAAACCACAAGATTTTTCAGTTACATAAAACAATATAATTTGTATATAAACTCATAAATACTGTCTCCATGGTTCACTAATTCCAAATACTAGTTATTTGCACATTAGTTGCTAATATCTATTACTATAAGTAGTTCCAGCTTGTGCTCTCTCAGGGTGGTCAATTCATTTCCGAGACTGGTCAGCCTGTCCGCTCCGAGGGAAAAAAAAATAAATCTCTGCAATGAGACGACGTTCCACGTGAGGATTTCATTTTGTTGTCTTCCAGATAATGAATCCTATGATTATAGAAGCCACAGCAAGACCCAGAAGCAGGATACAGATCTTCTTCCGGGATTTCTTCTAAAAGAAAAGAAGGAAAAAAAGCCACTGACACCAGGAGCAGGTGACAAAAGGAAAAAGCAAGTCTACCCGTTACCGTTAGTACCTCTGGCAAGCTGGAGCACTTTGTACCCAGCCTGACTCCAGGGAGGTAACTAGAGTAATGTGAACACTTTCACACGTTGCATAAACTGCATGATCATACAGCTACGTGTTTTCAGTTTTAGGAGTACAGTGGTCTGTGAGATGCAGTTAAATCAAAATGTAATTAAGTTTTGCTTCTCTTAAAGCAAATTTACTTCAAGCTGGCTGCAAAAGGAGAACTTGACAACAGCCACCACATGCTTTTTATCCTAAAGGACAACACCATGGCTTTAAGGGAAAGCCAACCATCTGTAGCTATTTAGATTTTCCAGGTAGTTAACAGAACTGCTAAGCAGCTTGCTGATACAATCTCCACTTGGCCACTTGTGGGGTTGCTGTGGAAACAGCATTGCATTTCTACAGGTTAAATGATTTAATAGACAGTTACTGTACTTGGGTTCTACAGCTCTGATCACTTCATTCATCACAGGAAACTACAGTGTGTCCACACACAGCAAATATTTTTTAACTTGGTATCTACTGCTTTAAGGATCATTGCATATAACTGCTTCCTTCTCCATCCAGAAAAACACATCCAGCACATGTCCAACAGCTCCTAAACGTGGGTTTATAACATACCTCCAAACTTTGCAAAGGAAGCCAGGGAGAGAAAAAATACTACTAAAGGCTGCCAGATGGTAAAAGCTACTTTCCCTCCCTCGTGCTAAACATCGCTGGAGTTTATTGCCTTTTAGTACCTCCGCCCTTAACAGCTTGAGAGAGTCCAAAGTCCCAGCAGCGAAACTCTGTATGGGACTGACTGAAGCAGAACCCTTATTCCTTCAGAGAACCTGGACCTACAGGGACAATAATGATGAAAGGAACCTACAGAAAACACTGAATACCATACCCAAAGGAGTGTTAAGCAGCAGTGAGAACCACTGCAGGAGATTTGGTGGGGCCGACTCTGGGGTAGAAGCTCAGCAGTTAGAAAGAAGGGGGCTGCAAATCCTGGTCACCAGGCGTGTCCGCAGTCTGGGCAAGGATTTTTGCACATCAGTGTCTCAGCTGGGTGTGTTTACAAGACGGATACAACATGAAAATTTGTTCTTGTTTAACTGTTCTGCTAACTCCTGAGAACAGCAAAGACAGCTGAACACTTCAGCTTGCTGAGCACACCTACGCGAAGGAACAGACTGACGATACATCCTCTGAAGTAGAAGGCCAATTTCAATACCGCGCTTTTGACTCAAGTGCTTTATCTACACCTTGCAGCACAACTTTGAGTGAGTGCCAGCTTGCACAAGCTGTTTTTAATAACCTGTTTGGTTTGCTGCAGTCCTCAGGATGCATCTTGTTATGCCTGGTCCATTATTGCTCGATAATACAAGCAGACAGAATTTACCTGATAATAGGCAGCTCTCTGTAACTGCTCACTGGCTCTTTCCACGTGGACTTCTGCGCTTTCCACATTCGCCTCTATGCTATCTGTGGAAAAATAAAGAAAACTCATTGTAAAATACTTCAGAGCTTCAGTGTTTAAAAAAAATAATAATTAGAAATACCATACTTTGCATACAAAATACTGGAAAAATTAAACTAGGTAGGCAAAACATGTAACTGAACTAAGAAGAAACTTCCTATTATCCAAACCCACTTACCAATCATATCTCCTTGGTCATGAATCATCATGGCTAAATCCTTAAATATCTGATTGACGTCCAAAATGTCTGCCTGAGGACAACAGTTTAAGAAGTTATACCAAACGTTGGTTATAATTTTTCTAATCCTCATTCTTAGTACCTCTTCTGACCAAAGTGGTAGAACTGACACCATCATTCGCTGACTGAGGTGACCTGATGCTGCCAGCCAGGGAGCTTGGGATTAACACAGGAGCCTACGACATTTCTGCTACTGAGTCTTTGTTTCATCACACTAGCAATGAGCACAGCAGGGAACTGAGCTGCGCATTGTAACATCAGTCGCTCCTACCACCTCTGAAGGACCACGAGTCAACACCGAAGGGAAATATACCTAATCTCCTTCAACAGGAGTGGGAGATTGATCTTGGCATCAATCCTCTCTACAAGGAACTCTGTTCCTCCACCTGCAGATCTCCTCAGCCCATCCCACTAGTTAGCACTGCACGACTTCTTTGGTTTATCTCCCAATACCGTTAACTGTGCGGGGATCTACTGGTCACCTCTAATTGCCTGATGGCTGTTTCTCTTTCTTTAATGAGTTCGAGGTCCTGCTCAGTTATTGCCACATCTTCTTCCTGAGACTGCATTTGATTCCAATCTTCACCACTGGAAAGAGATGGAAAGGACGTCTCTGAGGGTAAGCACTTCCACACTCCAGTTCTAGCAAAGCGCCAGTGAGTCAAAGCTGAAGAATTCCCTACAAAACAACCCCCAGGTCCGTGGCCCTACACAGAGACAGGACTGATTTGTGACAACAGCTACAGATTGGAACAATTCAAAAAAAGGGACAGATGAGGAAGAGTGAAGAAACTGAAAAGGAGTTACATGCATAGAACACTCTTTTGGAATGTCACAGTTATCTACAGCATTATAGAAGAAACCTCCTTATTTCATTTCTACTGTTTTTTTTTTGTTTTTTTTTAATACATGTAACTTCCTTCTCTCTCACCAGCCCCTCAAAAAGGGAGAAATCGGGGTGAAAGTTTTGATAGAGAGTAGCCTGAAAGCACAATGTTACCAGAACAAAAGGAGGCCGGACAAAGATCTGGATTTCAAAGACTCTCACTTTCTATGTGGCATTTGGAGATAACGATAAAGTATTTTAATTCGTTAGTCTAAATCACACACCAAAAGATATACTGACAACCAATTAACTCTGCATCCCTGTCTACCTCTCTCCTGACGAGCTGGTACTCCCCAACTGCTGCACAAGTTACCCCACTTATGGCCAAGGCAGTACCTACAATACAAAGCCAACTACGTGTTCAGCATCGAAAGTTCTTCACAAGGGCAACATCTCCCTCTCCTCAACAAAGCGTAACATCGCAGTGTTAGGTATATCCAGCACGAAATACTGAGTTTCAAACTGTCAAAGCACCAAAAGAAATGAACGTAAGCTACACGACTCGGTCAGAGACAGGTGATCGTTCGAACAATTCAGCTCTGAGTCGACAGGTTTCCAGGTATTTGAGGCACAAGTGTCTGACACGTAGCACACAAGAAAAACCTGGGACGTGGAGTAGCTGCTGCGTGCCACTCCCTCATCCAGCCAAGAGCTTCTGCGGACTTACACACTAAAGTCAAGGGAACCAGATATGGGTCCGTGTCTGGTTCTTCAAACTCACCACAGCATCTGGGTAACCGGTGAACAGGAGCCAGCAGGGTGCCCAGGTGG